TGTAATACAGCAGCATGAATATATATGCATTTCCAGAATTGCAGATACTCTTTTCAGTTGCAGGGAAACAGAAGAGAGATGGGAAAAAAAGCAGGTAGGCTTTTCAAATAATTTTTGCAATAAATTTCAGAGAGGCAAAAATAGGACAGAGAGGGTTTGATCCTCAGCCTCTCTATTAGTGGGCTGTGGATACATCTGGGCTTTCCCTTGAAGGCCGTTCCCACATCTGCTATGGAGAGGTAATAGACCATATCTGCAGACAATGCAAGAGTGTGGTGTCTGGTAGCATGATGGCATCTCTTTGTTGCCTACATTTCACTCATGTGAACGTCAGCTTCCCCAGCTTTCTGCTCAAAAATCTGCAGCTGTAGTATACAATATTCATAAATGACTACACCAAAAAAAAAAAAAAAAGAAAGAAAGGAAAAAAAAATATTGGAGAAAATATTTCTTATGTGTGTATGAAATGGCCAGAGATTTGGTGGTGGTATTTGAATGCAAAATTCAGGATATGGAGTTCTACCTCCTGTGACTCATGCGATTTGAGTAGCACACCTCACACTTCTCAAGTTTCACAGTTTTTTGAATAGCTCTGGCTCAGTTCAGCTGCGTGCATGAGAAATACGAAAGTCTGAGCAACACGGCTGGGTACAAAGCAGCTGCACAAATGAGCCCAGCAAAGAGTGTGGTGATTTGATTTTGTGAATGAAGAAACATTTTCCCACGACTCAGTTTAATTCACTTAAAGAGAGCCAGAAGCTTCCCTCCATGTATATTATTGTTCCAAAAAACTTCCAAGATGACTGTCAGAAAATCTTGATAGAAATAAATTGTTTATGTTGTAGGCCCTGGCATTTCTGCTAGATAACTCTCATATGGAATGGAAGTCTCTGAGAACAATGAAGTTATTTATCCAAAGTAATTTATAGGAAATATCACTCTTTTCACTAAGATTTGATTTGTAACCCATCAGGGATGGATGTACATCATGCACACCTGTAAATAGACATTTCCTTTATTTTCAGGCAGTTGAGGAGGGAGGAACATTTGAATTAACACCAAAGCAGGGTAGCAATGACGCTTGTAGGAAAAAGATACTTTTCATTTCAGGAAGGTTTATCTGGCTAATTTTCTTTGTGTCCTCAGAGGATTGAAATATAGACACTTAGAGCAAGCACCAGCAAGCAGATTTCTTTTCCTGCTCCTTTCCAGGTGCATACTATAACAGCTACCTATTCATCAACTTCATTCTTTCAGTGACGGGATGCTCTCCTTGAGAAAGCAGGAAAACTGGGCTCAGAAACTGTTGAAAGCAGCAAGTATGTACTTTTGTACAGCTTCTTTCTTGTCTTATTGTCTGGGAAGAACCCTGGGCAGCTTGGTGCTTAGCTTCTTCCTCTGTGAGTCAGAGACAGTCTGAACTTCTGCAATCAGGCAACACTGTGCAAGTGTAACACTACCAAGAAAACATGAAGCTGTTTCTTGTGGGGTTTGAAAGCAAACCAGACAGAGAGCAGGTCAATGATGCAAGTGCCAGACACTGTTTGAGAACTAGTGTCATTGTTAAATACCTCATGTGAAGTTAGTCCTTGGCTCGTCCTGTCCCCAGTTTGGTTTTGTGGGAAAGAAAGAGATGTTAAAAAAATAGCCTACAGCATTTTTAAAAGAGGAAAGAAAAAGATAATTACTTTAAAAGTTCTTCTATAACAGAAAGAATGAACAAAACAAATTTTTTCCAGAAATAACGGAATAATTCAGCACTTGGGAGACTAATCCCATAAGGAGCCAGAGTTAAAGATCAGGAGTTTCACAAGCTGGCCTATCAAGTTCTGTGCTTTTGCTTTCCAATATTTAAGTGTAACTTACTTTTTTCCCGTAACATATTTTTTCATTACTTAATGTAAGGTGTTTATGCATTATTAGGTCTTTTCCTTCACTTCAGTAACAGAAGAGTACTTCTCCAGATTTTGTTTGAGGTGTACAAAATTACATTTGTTTACACAAGTATGTTCATCTTTACAGTTTCCTTGGTCACTGCTTCAAACTATGTGACATCCATCAGAGAATTAAACAGAAGGCAGCATATTAAAACAACAGGCTCTTGAAATCAATAGGTGCAATACACTCTTCTCTGTTTATTACTTTATTTCTTTATTACTAGTAGTGTAGATCTGTAATGTCAATAAGGCAAGATAAGTTTACTCTGGTTAGAAAAGATTGGGGATGTCTTGTGTTTAGGGTGTCACTGAACAGAGTGAGACAATTCCTACTCTCTCTCAAATGCACTTCAGTCTATAGGTTTAAAAGCTTGGGGGAAACTCATCCACCAAGTTTGCCATATGAAACTATCATGGAACTTCAAGGTTTCAAACTAGACTGGACCCCTAAGTTCATAGGCCACCTGCTGCCCTACCAGTGCTTCTACCAGCAGTCTTTTGGCAGCTCTCTGCTAAGCATGTGGAATCTGCATATCACATTTCAAGAAAACATAACCTTTCAGATACATTGCCTGCAAATCCTTGACACAACCTTGGCAGTCAGGGTCACACAGGATAAACAAGGAAGTGCACAATTCTCATATAACCAAAGCCTTTGTCATGACAGTTCCTGCCTTTTTTGTTTTTTTTCCAGAGTTGGGTTTTTTTGGGGTTTTTTTTGGGGGGCGACAGGGAAGAAGTTGGATGGGGTAGGGTATTTTAATTTAAAAAGGTTAACATGTCAGTGTATTAGTTTTATTAGTACTATTTTTACATTTTAGTGAGGTAGTGCCTTTGGCCCATGATACCTTTTGCCCAAAGTAACCTCTGCAGCTCTATCAAGTTATAGTGAAAAAATCTGAAAACTTTTATTAAGACTTTGGATTTCTATGCTTCTCTTTATGTAGCTTTCTTTTCACTTTACTTATTATGTTGGTTTCAAGGTTTGAGGTCTCTCTGTACATCCAATATAACTTCCTTGGCCACAGCAACTGACCTGGATGGGTACCAAAGACCATAAAAATTTGAAGTCTGTTCTCTATCTAGCATTAAGAAGGCTAAATAAAAAGCTAATACTGTAGACAACTTGTTTGCAAGATTTAAGATGAAAATAATCTATTTCTAAAATGGATTTACCTGAATATTTAATCTTTGCTATTTTACTTCTATTCCTAAATTCCTGAGAGTTTCTGCAATTTCTCTATTTGCTTTGGAAATCTCACTGAAGAACTTCAGTCCTTACAGTCTTCCACAGTTATCTCCCCCTGAGAGAAGACAGCCAGAGACCAAACAAGTGGCAAACTTCCATTGTGGAGAATTCCACAGAGGCAAGCACAAAAATGCTTGTAGCGACAGATGAAGTTCGAAAAGGACAGGGAGGAGTCCATGTCGATTAAAAGTATGTTGCCATTTAGACAAGAATAATATTGGAAAATCTTTTTGTGATGTCTGGATCTTCCTTACAAATACTTGCAAGTTTTAGTATAGCTGTGAGACAATAAAAGAGGACTTCTGGCCGTAGCTGGGTCTTGCAGATGAATAGATCCTTAATGTCAGCTTAATCAAATGGGAGCTCTCACAGATGCTTCTAAGCCCAGAACTCTTTCAGCTCATGCATGGCTGAATTTGCACAGCTGGTAACTTTACCAAGCTTCAGAGAGTTGTTTTTAGCTTGGTTGTTGCAAACTGGTCTAAAAACTAAAATGTGTCTTCTATTGCAAGAAAGTTGGTGCAAGATGTCAAAACAGTCAGGATGATCCCACTGTCTTCTTAAAGGAAAAAAAAAAAAAAAAAAAAGAGAGAGAGAGAGAGAGAGAGAGAGAGAGAAAGGAATGATCCCAAACCCTCTACAAAACCAATTAAAAAAAACAACAAAAACCCCAAACTCAAAGCTATCTACCTTTCTCCAGACATATCACTCAACACCCTCCACATAAGTCACAAATACTGGCAGATTTCCTTCACTGGAGGAACCAAAAAATGGTTGCCCAACAGAAACTCTCTGAGGATCCAGCTCTTGCAAGGGTGTTGCTACTGCAATGGCTCTTCCACAAGCAGTGTAGTAATAGATCCTCTCTATCTCCAGCTGCTAAGATCCTAGAAGTTTTAAAGAAATATTTAGTTTTAATTTTCTACTACAATGTTAGGTGTTTTTTTTTTTTTTTTTCTGAAATTAGGCAACACTTTTAAGAAGAAAGAAGGGATGGATTAATTTTATAACCCTGCATGCCTCCCTGCTTTAAGAACCCAGATCAAAGTACTTTATATACCATACACAGGATATAAGTGCTTTGGTAGAGACTGGTAGCAATCTCTACCAAAACAAGCTAGCTAGTTTGCTGTTTCAGTTATTGGTAGCTGCCTGTGTGACAAAATCTGGTTCTCCTACAACTGCAAAGAATCCTCAGATGGATGTCTCCCCAAGGCTCCTTCCACACACAGACATTTGCTAATTAAATCTCCTGGCTGACCTGTGGTGATGATGTGCATGCTCACATTTCAGAGGCAGCTGGTGGGTGCAGGTGTAGGAGTAAGAAAAGGAAATTTTTTGCCTATAAATTTCTAAAATATGCTTTATGCATTAACTACATAACTACTTAGAAATACTGTCAGCTCCTTGGGAGCTGGAGTCCACAGTATCTGGAATATATCAGACCCTGACTACCTTATAATACAGCTTTCCAGGCCAGAGTTATCCAGCCACATAAATACAGAAGGAAAACAACATTTGTTCATGTACACATAAAGAAGCATACTTCTTCCTCTCAGTCCACATTTGCCCCTGATGGTTTGATTTCTTCTCCATATAATGTGATATTAGTTGTCTTTAGTCTGACAACAACGGCAAAGATTTTCATTTCTTCCTTCCTCATCTCCACTCTACTATATACCTCAAATTTGTGCTTTCATAGGAGAAGAAAGCCCACACCACAGTAGTTCCCACCTAGACACTTATACTAAATAAATATGTCTTTAATAACTATGTATTCATACATTTTATTGCACACATATAACTGAAAAAAATGTACAAGTATTACTACTAATTCTCAGCCTTTTTTGCACATTTGGCAGTCATGCCCATGACTTACTGTTTCACAAAGTAAGTCCACAGTCCTTGGACTCTAATCATGTGTTACTCCAATCCACAGGATGTACATTCATACATGCAACAACTAAAACAGACCAAAATTCGTCTCCCAAAAAATAACATTATTTCTTTGCTGGAAATACAAGCCTTGTAAATATTACTTTGGCACATTAGTTATCATTAGTCCTCTTTAGGACTTTCTTTCCACAACAGTTTTTACTAAAGACCCCAGTTCATTAAATCTGAACACTTGTCCAGATGTCCAGGTTTTTATTTGTCATGGATTGAAAAAAAAATTTACTGGATGATGGTATGTGAAAAATAATTTTAGAGAGATGTAAATACATAAACCAAATTCTTGATGAATATATAGTACACCTTGATTTTCTTAAACTCAGTAAATCAAAGTTTTAGTGCTGTTAGCAAGCCTTAGTATTAATCTTTGTACACAGTTATGTGATGATTACACATTTCTGTGTGTAGGTTTGAGGAGAAAGATTGACTTCTTTATGCTGGCTTTAAAAGACTATAGATATAGTTCCTAAATCCAAATGCAGTACAGAAATAGCCAGCTTAGTTTTACAGCTTTGAGAATGCATTAACTTTGATCAAATTTCCTGATACTTCACATATCACAATATTTGTAAAGTACTTTGCTTCCCTAAACAATAGCATGCCCTCCTGAATTCTGAACATACTGTCTGTTTAATTATTATATTTGTTTTGGGAACAAGTGAAACTGCTGCCTATTGTGTAAACAAAAATACCATTGTCCAATTTGATCAGCTTCAAAATAATTGACTGCACCCTCCAAAAAACCGAAACGGAACTCTAATTGCATCATCTGCTGTTGTGTTTGCAGTTACTGAGTCTCCATTCTCTTAAATATGTTATATTTTACTTGAGGCACTGTATGCATCTCATTTCATGGAGATGTAGTAAAGCAAATAGGAAGGGATAGGGTGGATGGTGGTTTGTTGTTATTTTTCTTCTCCAAAATATATCCAGGACATCCAGCACTGCAAGAGGCAGGGTTGCTTAGTACTACAATTCATAAGGAAGACAGACATTGATCTCTTGAAATGGGAGCTTTCTTCTGTCTGCTATCAAGATTACTTGCAGGAAGAGGAAAGATCAGCTATCCTTCCAGTCAATTCAATGAACCTTGGAGGTAAACACCTGAGTGAAGAGTAACAGAAAACAAAAGGAAAAAATCAGACCTTAGTGATAAGATGAAATTAGACATGAAAATTAATAGTTTGGCCATAATTATTGTATTCTCTGACAGTGAAATGGAGTTTCTCTCAAATGTGATTGAAAGCCAAGATGATATAATCAAATCCACTTGTGTTCCAGAATCACTGGGGTTTTTTAAATATGTTAATGCTAAAAGGAAAATATAAGTACATAGTAAGCAAGAATTTTAAGTATACTATTGCAAAGAAAATTCAAGTATTATACTGCAAAATAAATATCAAGTGCTGTCTCCCTTGTAGAGAGCAGCCCTCTACTTCTCATAAGAAGCATTACTTTGGCAACAGGAGAGCAAGATGCAAGGCTAACTACAACCAAGAATTAATGTGAAGATCCAGTGATAGCAAACAAAACAGGGAACAAGTGTGCTTGTTTCTCTTGTGGCCTTCTATCCTCTGGCATATTGGTGTCACAGGCAGCTTCAGCCAGTATCACATATCTTTGGAGACAGTCAGCTTGTGCTCTTTAGTGCCTGACAACAGTATAGAATATGGTATCCCAGACTTATTTCTTTCAAAATTGTGTGAAATACCAAAAACTTCTTTTAAATTTAAGTGAATCCCATTTAAAATGAAAAGCAGTGTATTTTTAGTTCCTAAACTCTTTGCTTCAGAAGAGATATGGACCAAAATATTTAAGGAGGTCTTCCTTTTTCTCTGTGCTTCCTATATGAGATAATGATAGAAAAGGTGCTTTCAGGTATGGCACCTTGGAGAAGGAGGAGGCAAGGAAAAGGAGGAGAAAAAAACCAAAGGAGATCCATCTTAGCACTACAATTCTGAAATTGCACCTCAAAAAGCATGAGTCAGAAATATATATTGCACCGGTGCAAAGGTCATGTATTTTAAAACAGATACTTTTTACTGAATGCTATTCTATCTTCCTAAACAAATAACTAACTTAGTATAAACTTTTTTGGGCAATGATATTTCTTGCCATGATGACACTGAAATAAAAATTCATTTCTGGCTGCACTGGCACTGAGTTCTTTGGGAACTGTCTTCTGGCATAAACTAGATTTTTTTTTTGGTTTTTTTTTTTTTCCTTTTCCTCCCAGTACCACTAAATAGTGGAGGATCCTTGTGAAGCATTAAGCCTTCCACAGCTTCACAGCAGGCAGCTAGAGTAGGAAACACATACTGAGTTCATTCTTTCTTACCACAAAGCAGAAATATAGTCTCAGCCCTATGCAATTCTACCTTGCTGCTTTAGACATCTGATCAGAGGCTGATGCAAGTAAGGGCTTTGGTTTAGACTTATTGCTGTCAGAAAGACAATGTTTAGCAGTCTGCAGAAATACTGTGCGCACTTACAGACATGTGCCCAACAATAGCTGGGCGTGTGGGAGGGACAAATGAAGTACGTGACTGGATTTTGTTGTCTTGGATGATAGCAGAGTTTCTGGCATGATCAACATCTTCACAGGAAGCTGCAGGAGTCCTCCACAGATGTGGGGTTTCAGTGGGTACTCCTGTTGAGCAACACAGATTCTGGTGCTTGGGTTATCTAATTAACATGGCTTCCACAGGGGTGAGCTGCCTTGAACTGGTGTAAGCTGCAGCCTTCACATCAACAACAAAGAAATCACTTAAATAACAGGCCTCAGAAGTGACTCATATATCTTGATCCTTTACCTCTGGCCATGTCATGAAGTTTAGACAAAATCTTCAAGTTTTTTTTTTCGTTACAGCTCTCAGCATCATTTCCCTGAAAAGCCACAGAAGTAGAATTAAGGACCATATGGCAGGACAGTTAGTGGAAATTTTCTGGAGTATCAAGATTTTGCTGGCTACCATTAAATCACTGATAGCAGCCATTTCACTCTCCTTTTTGAATGTGGACACACTCAAGAAAATAGAAAAAAAACCAGCACTACTGCTGCTTTCAGTCAGAAAACTGAGAAGTTGTAAAGATTTATTTTTTTTAATAATATTCTGTCTTTTTGCTGCAAAACACTGAACAATCTGGAATTATTTTGTTTTACTACTATATAAAATGTCTTTTATAGGTTTGGGAAGAGTCCATGAAAGTCTGCTGTTTTATGATTGAGGTCACCAAATGTCAGCATGACTTATTTGTCTGAAACTATGGTCACAGCTGGAAGGGAAAGGGTTGTTGAAAAGATAAGGGAGATGAAGTGGCCCATTAAAACAATGCCAATGATGGTACTGTGACCATCTTCTAAACTGTCTTCAACCTATGACAGGAAATCCTGTTGACCAAGTATTGTTCTATCTTTTCTCTTACGCATAGGCAGGTTTTTTTGTTGTGTACAACGAAAGACTTGAGAATACAAACATGGACTCTGAAAACACCTATACTGAGGAAGCCTAACTCTTTATTAATGAAGTTTTGGGAGGCAGAGGTGGACATGAATAGTGAGGGAATGTTTATAATCATAAGATGTAAGAACTTTCCCTGCAACTCAGAGCTCAGCCATTAGAAGCACCTAAAAATAACTTTTAACTTCACAAATCCACAGTCCTGCAGCAGACATTTATTTCTGCCAATAGACTGAAATTCCATGAGCAGTTGAACATGAGCAAACTTATTATTGAGAGCACAAGGTTGTCTTCCAGCAGCTTCCTGAAAACCACTTACAACAGTCTTCTGGACTAGAAAACTGATCCTGGTGGGAGATCCAAATACTTCCTTAAACTTAGCATTAACCCATCCATTTGGGGAAGGGAAAACTTAAAATTAGGTTGCTATAAATACTGTAAAGTGTCATAAGAGGAAGTTCAATTATCTTAGGCTGGTCCCAAATTCATATTCTGAAAATGAAATTATGAAACCCCACGTTGTGGTATTTTTGGTGTTTTTTTTTTTTTTTTTTTTTTGTTTTTTTTTTTTTTTTTTTTTGTTGGGTTTTTGGGGTTTTTTTTTGGTTTTTTTTTTTTTTTTTTTCTTTTTTGGGTTTTTTTGTTTTGGGGTTTTTTTTTGGGGATTTTTGTTGTTTTATGGATTTTATTTAATTAGCCATTCTGTCAGTTGCTCTGAGGGAAAGCTCAGCAGCATAAGAAAGCAAGAGTCTTCTGTTAAAATGCAGCAGCTGTTTGTAAGGGCTTGTTGAAATCACCATGAAACTTGAACTGTATTGGAGGCAAGACTGTGAAACAAAATAGCCTGTAATGAGCAGCTGTGCCTGAGGAGTTCAGCTTCAGTGTTCTTAAACTGCCAGCTCCTTGCAGAGAGCTTTTTCCAGGCTCAAGAACAGATTCTCTTGATACAAGGGTCAGAGGAATTTTTAAAACTTTCTGGGTCAGAGAGCTCATTTATGTCTTGGTTTCTTGCTAACCCACCAGACGTTCAAGCACTGATAGCGTCCCTCTCACTGGGAAGGGACTGAAGGAACCAACCCAGTAACTATCAGGGAGACAACACTTGATCTATTTTTAAAAATCTAGGATTGCTTACAATGCAAGTTAAACCACCCTGTATTACATTCCCCTCTGCTACAGAGGACAGAGTCAAGAAATTCCCCAAATGTTGCTTTTCCCCAATCAGTTGAAAGCAGGCAACTATAAACTTTGCAAAAGGATTGCCAGGTTCTAAACATTTTTTTTCTTCCTGGTTGCTGCCACAATAGATTCACACAGAATCACAACACACATTACTTTTCAGGAGTTTTCAGATATGCGATTAATACAAATAGGGAATTTTTTACTCATTAACCATAATATTGGCTTTGTAGTACTGGCAAGTAATTCACTTTTACAAAAGAGTGTTCAAAAGCTAAACTGGAGGAATGACGAAAGGAGGTCAGAACTCCTTAATAAGACATTTGCAGAGACACAGTGCACCCAGATCTCAGGAGGACCCAGCCAAGAGCAGCTGCTTCACTCTGAACATTAGCTAGCTCATCTGAATGGCTTCTCTCTTCTGTAACTCCTGGCGCATGTAGAGCAAGTGGAGCTGCATAACTTATTTAAAAAAAAAAAAAAAAATATAAAGCCATCTATAGCCCAAGCAACAAATTTTTCTCAGAAAAAAAAAAACAAAAAACATGTGAGCATAAAAGAGCTGCACAAATTTTGCCATATTTGTAAAGGTGGGTTTAGCTGTGTTTGGGTAGGGCAAATGGGCAGTTTTGGGCCTAACCCCAGTTTGGTGTGTTCAAGAGGATGGCACTTAAAAGGAATATGAACAAACTGCTGTAGGTCCACACAGCCCCCATGACTCTAGCACTAATTCTTCCTCTACCCTTTTCCAGCTTGTAACTCAAAACTGCAGCTCACGATTGGAGTGGAAACACAGAAACACTTTGAGGGTTCTTAGCTCTCTCCCTGCAACTCTCATAAGCTCCCCAGCCTTTTTGTCCCTGCAGGCAGAAGGAGGGCACCCAACTAGGCCTGCAGAACTCCTCGAGGAAGAGGCTGCTCTGCTGTCTGTACCCATGCTGGCAGTCTCCCACCTGTCTTTTGTCACAAGACATGACAGGACAAGGGCTGGCTCACCAACATGGGAGCGGCATCTGCAACTGGGTGGGTTTACGGGAAGATGTCACTTAGACAGGTCTATCAGAATCCAACTTGTTTCACCACAGAACCCAAAGCTAAAAAAAATCACAACCAAATATTAACAGGTAGCACATTTGTAAAGGAAAAGAGGAATACTTTGTCTTGACAAGTTCAGGTCAAATCTGAGTGCATCTCTACAAACTCAGAGCAGTCAGTGTAGTACACTTCTAGACCCTGACTTTTCTACTTTCTTGGTCATTTTGGTACTACATGATGTCAAAAAGGAAGGGGAGGAGAGAGGAAACTAAAAGATGTTCCCAAGTTCACCCTTAGGAACTGTCAAAGTCCTTTCAGTATAACTTCAGAGGTGTTTTCTCCATTTACAAGATGTCTCATCTGAACAATTCATAGCATTTCACACTCAGTTCTCGCAATATTGCACTTTTCTGCCAATGTGGGTGTCTGAAACTCACATGGTATCAAACTGAGTTAATGTGATAGCGCAGCATTAGGGCCAAGGGAAAGTGTTGCCTCTTTCACATACCCCCCATAAAGCCTCCACCCCCATCACTGCAGCTGCTCTGCTTCATCCCTTTCTGTTGTTTGGTTTGCTAGAATAAGTAGCGCCAGAAGGAGGTATGAAAGGGAAGGTTTCAGGGGAAGACTGTGCGGCTGCCACATTAATTCTTGGAACTGGAGAACAGACTCAACAGGAATGGGGACAGGGAATCACAGATCTCCACTGGCAGCATGTTATACTGGGATCAAGGCAGTCAACCAAGACAAGGTTGAGTTTCAATTTCTAGTACATTCTGCAGTTACAGTTGTAATTTTCTTTTGAGAATGTAATTTCATAACATGTGATTGTTCTGCTTACTTCTAACTGAACATTTGAGAGAAATCAACTTTAATAGCCTGCCTGATACATTGCTATTTGCAGTGTTTTCCCGGTCCATAATCTAAAGTCCAGTTGGTGGAAAGATCATTATAAAAGAGAACCCATGAAATATCATATTAATAGTTCCATGAGCCTGGAGCTATTTAAATTTATAAATTAACTGAGACAAAGTATTTTTTTAAATGGTGTAGGATGCCAGGGCCCTGTGAGGAGGGGACACTGCAATCTTCCATGCTGCTTTTCAGGGTTTAGTTGCCTATGTCTATGGTTGGCTCTGCCACAGTGCAGTCTTGGATGAAATTCCTGTGTTAACACTTTTGTTGTGAGAAAGAGCTGCGTGATGACCCTTGGAGCACCCCTCACCCCTTGGCTCAGGAGATACCTTAAAGCTCAGGGTGTTGCTCCTTGGTCATTGCTTGAGCCATCGTGCAGATACACATTTCTCTCTGCCTGCCTTTGTCAGCAGCTGCTCCCTGACAGAGGCTGTCTGAAAAACAAAACAACTTTTGAACCAGAGGTATATCCAGTATTAGCATCACAAACTTATCTGGAGGATGCACTAGGCTACCCCTTCTGCCGTTGATTTTCTGCTTTTTTTCAGGGATGCCCACCCCAGAACATCCTGAGCAGCTGCTTTCCTGCCTCCCTGCCTGTTTTCTTTTGCAAGGCTAAGCCAGTGTGCCAGGGGCAGAAAGCAGAAAAGCCTGAAGAATTCCCTCAGAATTTGTTCATGTTTGTGTGGGGGTGGCAGGTGGGGAAATCCATGAAGAGCATATATATCTTCTCAGTCACCCTGTAAAACTGCATGCCAATCATCCTGTGCTGTCTGCGTGGGATCCCAGGGGTGCTAAAAAACAGAAATCAGGACATATTGGAGGATGTATAATTCACAAATTATATCTGCTTCAGGGAAGAGGTACTCCTTCTTATATATTTGTTCAGCTCTGCTGCACTGCAGCCCCTAGGCATCAAATTATTGTAATTTCAGTTCTGTTTTCAGAACATGTCAGAAATCTCTGGAAACACTCACTGAGAACTGCTTGCAATCATTCCAGCGAATTAAGTGCCCATTTGGGGACTTTCACTTCTGCTTCTGAGGTTTGTCTAGGAAGGAGGGTTAGGTTAATCTGGAGCATTTTCCAAGTGCTGTTGATTTGGATCAGGCATTTGCTGCTTTGCTGTTCAATTTCATATACCACAAGAAAAAAAATCAAATGTTATCTGGGACATGGGTTCTTTGCCCTTTTGTTGTGATATGAAGAAATAGGCTTTTTTGCTGAATAGGAGGAACAGAAAACCATCATTCCTTTTCTTTCACCCAACGGCTGTATTAAGATAGTGGCAGGTAT